AACACAAACAGTCTGTGGTGTCACACTCGTCTGGTTCCTGAGTTATCGTTGACCGAAGCCAAATGTTGACGGACGGACGGACGGACAGACGTACGACGGACGACGACCCATGGCAATAGCTCAGCTTGACGATGTCAAGGTGAGCTAAAAACCTGGACGATTCGATATTATGATCCTGACATTAATTGCTTGCTATGGGCTATGTATGAGTCACGACTGTATGTTTACATTGAACAATATAGTAAAAATAGGAAGTATAATGCAGCAAATTAACCATAAAAAGTGAACGGAGTTACTTGCATTTTGTGAAAAAGTGGAAATATTTTTTTTTACTTTTACTACTAACGGTGACGTAATCACTTTAACAGATTTGCATCGATTTCATACGTCATAAAAACCAAGAACTAAAATCCCGGAAAATCCGCGGAAGATTCTTGCGCCTGGACTGCGCTTGGTTATGCAGGTCCACCCTCACGGAGCCTCGCTAGGATTTAATCCAGCCATCTTCATATGTACCGCTAGATCGAGCAAGTGTTCAAAGCACTCCAGCCTGCAATAAATACCATGCAATCACTACACACGAACCGTGCTGCCACCTATTGTGACTTTCCAGAAGTTTAGGCACCTCCATAGAACGGACACCTGTCTATGAAAAAGATTTGGTGTTTCCCTTGTTGACATTATACAGTAGAAACACATTTACAGTACATACACTGAAGACTTCCATAAGGGGGTTTCCATTGTTCAGATTCGACTGTATTCGTAAGACGTATTGTAGATGAAGCAGAGACAGCTTCGCTTCTTGGGTCATATAATGAGAGCAGCAGTTGGAGTGTATGCGTGACCGGCATGATCGAAGGTAGAAGACCAAGAGGGAGACCACGGCGAAAGTATATGGACAGTCCGGTGAGGAATGTTGGAGGAGGACATACTGCTGCCGGTCCCTTACAGATGACGAACGATAGAACACAGTGGTGATCCGTGGTAGCCGGCGTCCAGGCGGATATGGCACCCTGATGATGATGATGATGATGATAATGATGATGATGATGATGATGATGAGTAAGATTTATTAGCAAGAGCATGAGATGATGTCACACATCTCGCAACTAGAACTGGACAGACGACTGCCGCCACACTTACATGACTTTGGTTTGCTTCCACGTGTCACCCCAAACGTAGATGCCATGTCTGCGCACGAGGATCGCACTCGCCTCGGGATAGTTAATCATCGCCTCTGCCATGGGCACCTATCGCCACACACATAATTGCATTCGTCAGCTGTATAATACAAGAGCACTTGTCACAATAAACATCAGTTCTTACATGCTACGACACACGATACGCACGCGCCTACCGTCGGTGAATGAAACGCACGCACGCGCAGAATGCTATAGGATCGACTCTCTATGCTAAGGCATTCTTGGGATTAGCTTCATTATTTTGTCGCGCTATTCAGCGATATTTGTCATATACATTCACAAACTCGCACGCACGCACACACGCATCACACCCACCGCATGCAAGCACACACGCACGCACACGCGCACACACAAGCATCCACGCACACACATGCAAGCACTCACTTATGCATGCATGCATGCATGCATGCACGCATCCTAACACTCACACACAGATACGTACATAAACTTGCACACATGCAATTTACACATGAATAGTGAGGCTGGCGAAAAACAGCCGAAACAAATTCTACACGATGTCTCAGCAGTATGTTTCTACAAACACGGCACGGACTGCCTGTCGAACGCAGTTTGACGGACCTTCAAGCCGACTTCCTCCCTCGTGTTCTCAATCACCGGAATCACGATTTCATGGTCGTAGTTGAAATTTACCCCCGTCGTCGGGTTATGGATGCCCTTGATCATCTGCAGGTGAGTGAGGCGGATTTCGCTGCCTGGGTAGAGCAGTGTAGCCAGCACGGCATTCCTCGAGTGAATGTGCATCACTGAGCCGGCCTCTGAAACAAGTATCGCCATGTCACGACACTGTAGAGAAAAGCCAGCAGTGGAATGGTATCAGAGATGGTTGATAGCGATTGATTTATTCATCCAAAAGAACCCAAAAGAAGTTCAAACCAATCAGCATTGCGATAGGGCATTCTAAAAACACTGCGTAGTGACAAAGTGCCACAAAGTCAATAATTAATGGACGTGTAAAAAATATGTATAAACTTATCTAGCTTGGACAACAAAACCTAAAGCATGATTATCTGGCTAAGACAGACAGGTTAATTGGCCTTTTGTTTTCTATCTATCCTCTATACACTCAAAGGGTTTAGACATCACATTAGGCTAAAAACATCACCTTTCAGTTTCATATCATATTTCATTAACACACACCAAATGGATGCAGGCTGTCACTATCAATCTGGGTGCATGCACTGGCTACTTTTCGAAGTGGTTACGAATTCCTGGCATAATTCTAATTACTTCGAAGTGTGTAGGCATTCAGGAAGTTTGGGGTGCATGAACTCCTATGTAGCTTCTTGTAGGGTGGCGGTACATCCAGCTCTTCTCCCTCTAGATTCAGCACAAAAAGGTCCTCTCTCTGGAAGCATATTAGGTTCAGTGAGTTTCTAATTGAAAATGTATAGAAGACGAGTAAAATATTTTGCATACATATAGTCATTACATAGAGTCTCATACATATAACGCATTTATAGCTAATATATGCATATCATAGGTGGCATTAGGTGATAGAAAACTTAAGCTATCCCATATTGCTCAGAACCCATATGACATATATACCAAAGGAACATGTAATAAGAGAATTACGATCTACTGTATATACTGTTGACGCAAATCACGGCTTTAGTGGTGCTACGAATTAATTTCACTATGTTGAATGCAATCTGCCATTTAAAAAACTGATTGAGTGGATCGATATCATGCATATATGCAAAACTCCTGGTGCCACATATTGGATGACAAAGTGGTTCTGTATAAGATGGATAAGCATCAAAACTAACCTGAATGCGTTCCTTTAGTACTCCAGATGGGGAAATATATATTTTGTCTCTGCGAACAAATTCATTAATACTGTGTTGAGTACAATTTGACAGTTGATAATTTATACAGTAAATTTCAATTGAAAATGGTTAGGGCACATTAAATGGCATGTATACACTAAACTAAACTAAAACATATAATAACACACCTACTTCACCCTCATATTTCCTCCTCTTCCACTCTAGCTAGTTTTAGACAGGTACATATTTGACCTTGTGTGCCTGTAAACATATTGGACTTTTTATATCTTCATATTATATCTTCATGTTATAATATATATATATATATATCGCACACGCACGCACGCACACACACACGCGCGCGCACGAACGCACGCACGCGCGAACGAACGCACGCACGCGCGCACGAACGCACGCACGCGCGCACGAACGCACGCACGCGCGCACACACACACACAGATACGCGCGCGCACGTACGCACACACACTATCCGACCTAAAGGGGACCCATAAGTGGTCGGATAGTAATGGGAATGCTGGAGAAATATAACTCTTCTGGTGAGATATTGAGCATGCGGGGAAGAGACACTAACTTAACCAGATTGTGTACTGACCGGTATATTTAGCGGGCACCATATACATGTACATGCAAGGTCTTCTTCTTATTTCTTAAGAGTGGTCTACTGATTGGATTTTATCATATAAACATATGATAGAATATCTGCTCTATATTATTCTTCTCGTGAGATATTGCGTATGTACCGTTTCAGGCGTGCAGTACGGACCGAAGAAAAGTTCATAATATAGCTTACTGCGAGAGAGAGAGAGAGAGAGAGCGCGCGAGAGAGAGAGAGAAAGAGAGGGGTGGGAGACTAAGGAAAAGCGGCAGCGAAGATAGCTGAGGTGTGATAAAAGAGGAAGGAGAATGAGCGAGGGACAGGGGAGGCAAGGGGAAGGACGAACTGGTGTGAAGTAGGAGTTTTGCGCTCTATTAATTACAGAAACCTATATGCTGAGATACCCCTCACCCTATTAAATGTATATTCATATGAAAATATAGCTCCTCTGGTGAGATATTGCGCATGCACTAACAAGCTAACGAAATCGAGTAGAGAAACATTACGACTTTGGTAGTAAGCACGTTTCGTGTTTAGTTATAAAAAATTTACTATTGAAACGTTCCAAGTGTCTGTGGTCACGGCGGCTTGGCAAGACATATAATATGTGACGGCACGAGTGAGTAATCGCCCACAGCATTTGTTATTGGAGCGCGGCAATTTCGTATATGTTAGCCATGATGTAGCAACATTACTGAGTGATGATTTCACAGCATTTGTTATTGGAGCGCGGCAATTTCGTATATGTTAGCCATGATGTAGCAACATTACTGAGTGATGATTTTGACACATTATTTGAAATACTAGAAGAATATAAATAGATATATATGATATATTCAAGTGCGACTGGGTTATTTTGACATTTAAAAGCTTGACACAAATTCTTCCGCGCAAACATTTCCAGGCCATAGCTTATTTTACAGGGCTTTCCAAAACCGTCGCCCATTTCCCAGGACGTTCCGGGACGGCGTGTATTTGGAAAATGGCATTTTATAATTTCAAGATCCGCACGAATCCTGTTGTTAAGTATGTAGGTATGCATCCTGCAAGTATGTGCACGTATAGCTAGATGTACACGACGAAAAGTTACTCTAAACGTACACAAATGGGATGGATGGTTGACTGGATTGAAATCAAGTGTTCTAATATATTTGTTTGCATTCATGTGCAGCACCATTGCTTGTACGTTGTATGTGCATATACAATTCAACCTTGTTATTTAAACTGATAACTGTTATTACATTTTATTTCCGTTTACACTTGAATTGTGAAAAAAAAGCACGTACCACAGTGCAATAATTCGCATGAAAACAATAGCTAAAACTATGATATACTATATATTTTTAATAAAGAGAGGCTTTCTTTTAAACATTTTATTATAACGATAATGATATGGTATGATATCATACGGAGATAATTTTTAACAAATTCTGGGGAGTTCTATACAAACCCTTGCACTAGCTTAAGTAGCCAACTCCCGCAAAATCCCGCACGACGCCTCATTAGATTTACTTAAGCATAAGCATAGAGCCATCTTCTCTAGGCAGCGTTTACTGTCACACAGAGGACAAGTGGAACGCGACTTTGAAAAAATAACAGCAAAATTTCTTCGGGGAAAGGTGCAGGCTTTAATATCCGGCTGCGTTCTCACTCGTGATCTCTCTCTCTTGTCTCTGTTCATACAGGTCCTCAGCCTCTCTACGGTCCTCCTCTGTGTACTCAAACTTATCTAGCCTCTCCAGCCGTCGCAGGCAGATGAGAACCTCAATCCTGTATTCCTCCTGTTCCGCTAGAGGGCATTCTACGTGAGCAACATACATCAAAGTATCAGCAACGTGCTTTATAGCGATGAGAAATGGTTACCTGGACATCGTTCTATAGGGCCCAGATGCACTGCACTGTCACACGTATTCGATCGTATAGCGAGCAATACATGACTGTACAGGAGCGTAGCCAGGGGTGATTCCAGGCATTCCGGAATCCCCCCTGGTTTGTATCAAAATAGCACATATCTGATATACCGTGTGCACAGCACACAGAACCACGCAAGCTGCACAGCACACACACGCATACGCAGCTGCAGCACAGGGCGCACGGCGCACAACAGCACAACACAACGACGCGCAACGCGCACAGCGACAAGGGCATATTGTCGCAATACGGCAAACACGCACACGCACACGCACACGCACACTAGCACACGCAAACTACGCCACGCAGCACACGGTCGGGACCAAAACCAACGCACCACGCACAGCATACAACACACGACACGCACGCTGCAGCACGCACGCCCGCACGCAGCACGCACCAGCACACACAGGCCCGGCTACGCACGCCACGGACACACCACGATGCGACGCACAACGCAAGACGCACGGAAGCCGCCCCGGCGGATCGGCGGACCACGACGAACGACACGACACACACGCAACACAGGCACACACGCCACACAACACACACACACACAGCACAACCACACACACAGGACACCGAAAACATCTATGGAAACTTCGAACGGCTCCACACTAACACTAGCATGAACACAGTTGCCCCTCACGCAGCCAATGCATCCCTACTTTCGCCCAAAACTTCCTCACCCACAGTCCTAGCAATTAACAGACCCTACTCCTTATAGTTATTAGCAGTAATCCTCTTTAAACCACGAGTTCTTTATAACACAAACCATTTCCCCGAATAACTCCTTCAACATAATTCTTCAAAGTTAATCGCAGGCTAGACGCATTTCCATCTTTCACCCTAACCCTTTTCCAGATCGTCGTCGATGAGAGAATGTAGGTGACAGCTGCAGAGTGATGCTAGTGTGCGCCCAACACGAGCGTATAGAATAAAAACACGAAATATTCCTCAAGGATCGCATCCCTCAACGTAGAAAAGTCACAATAGTTACAAAACAATATAAAAATGTTTTTAAAAAAATCTGCGTAAGGTCACACATACCATCATTTTCCTTACTAAACTATTAGGAAAGAATATACCCCCTCCCTAGACCACGCAAGATCGCATCGAGAAAAGGAAGGAAGGGAAGGTGTTAGGAAGGAGGTTGGAAGGGAGGAAAGAAAAAGGAAAGAGAGGGTGGCAGGTTTAGACGGCTAAACGGTGCGAGCGGCGCATCACCGGCTACACTGATCAAGGCCCTCTCTCCAAGCCTCCCTCAGCCCCACGTCATCGCACTGGCCATTACGCATCTGATCACAACAGGCGGGAAACGGATCAATCAACAGCGAGAGCAGGCAAACACTTAGAGACGACAACAAAGCGTTGTTTGCTACTGGCTGGCGCGGCTTTGCAAGCGCGAGGAGAAGAGGGAGATGAGAGAGGGGGAGGGAGAAGAGAGAAGAGAGAGAGAGGGGGGGAAGAAAGAGAAATAGAGAGAGAGGGAGAGAGTCGCTTGCAGTAATACAGCGGCCGCGGTGTATTTTCACCGCCCGCGGCTAGTAGCCGAGTTCCATGACATCTACAACGGGAAACCGATCGGGCCGCGTTGAATCGGCAGTTGTGTCCAAAGGTGGCTCGCGCCTGCACGCGATCTGGCTTCCGATTATGCTACACGCTACGCGCCTGCGAGAGCATTTTGTCAACAGTACAGACAGCGCGCTAAAGGCCGCCAATTTGCTCGACAAATGCGGCGAAAGAGGATTCGTTGCCCAGCCATCATCGCAATGCGAGACACTCGGCTCATCATTGTTATCACCTACGTAATGTCAGGCGCTATAGCGACCATAAGACGCCGCAAAAAACCTGCTCGGGAAAATTGGCGCGGGTTCTATAAGCAGGCCTCCCAGGTTAATCAACATATAAAGCTGCATGAAACAAAACGCGTAAGTGCAGAATTGCCCAGATTTCGGCGCGCTCGCCTTAAACCGCAGCATATACGCAGCCGAATTTACAGGTTCGAAAAGTGTGTTTCTCGCCGTATATCGCTGTTTTGAAAGTCGGCGTCACGTCCCAGTGCCACAAACAAGGACGCGGTATGAAATTGTAAAATGTTGGACAGCGAGAGCAATATACGAGCTTTTCAGCCCAAAATTTCACAATGGGCGGCGCGGCGACATTCGAGAAAGTTAACGTCCCGTGAAATCTTCGAATGGAGCGCATCCGCCACGCGAATTAACATATTCAAATTATTAACAAATGTCGACGAGCGGGCCTGATCGTGTATACACGCAGCTGCTGCATTTGTCAGGCGTCAGCGTGCTTGGCATGGCCTGCTTGCAACAAATGCTCAAATACTTATTAATGTGTAGCCTAGGGTTGAAAAATGCAGACAGAGTGTGAAATGGTTGACTTTCGCCATCAGAATCTGGGCTGAATTCTTAAAGACATACGAAATCGGATACAATGCGATTTTTTTGCCAGCGCGAAAGTTTTGAGGGGCATTTGTTATACAGCCTATTATGTTCGCACAGGCTGGTTAAATTAAAACCAAATTTATTCGCGATTAAAAAAACGGGTCCGAGCGCATTTCTGTTGCCAAAGGAAACGGGGCAAAACAATAGCGGGGAGGTTTAATTTTGCGAAATATTTCTTTCAAAAAATAAGGCAACCATGAAATATGAGTGACGCTTGAATGATTTCTCACGCTGCGAACAATAAACATCAAAATGTCTGATACCGTCTCAACGACGTGTAAACTTTCAACAGGAACACACGATAATTGAACGCGAGGCAACATTTGCTAGGGTGGCGGCACTCATGCACGGTGGGGGGCAGATTTCGTGGGCCAAGGGGACGGCCACTGTGGGGGATCGGGTGGTTACTGCGGCCGAGACGGCCTCTTGGGGGGATAGGTGGTTACTGCACGAGCACCCTCCTGGGGGGATAGGTGGTTACTGCCGACCGAGACGCCTCCCTGGGGATAGGTGGGTTATGGCACGAGAACGCCTCTGGGGGAATAGGTGGTTACTGGCCAGCCGAACACCTCCCTTGGGGATAGGTGGTTAGCTGCCGTCCGAGACGCCTCCTGGGGATAGGTGGGTTTACTGCCACCGAACACCTCCTGGGGGATAGGTGGTTACTGCCACCGAACAGCTAGTGAGAGATAAGTGATATATAGTGGATGTTTCTTCAGGTGGAGTATGACCCTAGCATGGTCACCGAGTGACATAGCCCCGATATTATTCGCATCTTCCTACGATACGATTCCCTACCATTTCCTAAAAAAAGTACTGCTAGAAAGAGATATAGCATATAATAATAGAGCATAGAGCATCTAAATAATAATAGATACTAAATAATAAGAAATAATAGCAGCGGCAGGGGCGTGTACAGGGGGGGGGGTCCAGGGAGTCGGACCCCCCCCCCCGCTCGCTGCAGAAAAGCATCTAAGAGGGTCTAATTTTCAAAAAAATTTCTGGGAGAGGGCCAGCCCGCACGACCGCCCCCCCTTCGCGGGCTCCGCAAGTTCTGGGTTACGGTTAGGACGCCATCGCTGGTACAAATCCATGTAGACCCCGACCGGAGAGGATTCCTACTCTCGAACCCCCCACAGCCTGCAGGTCGTTGAGGTTTAGGTTAGCGATATGTTAAGAGATTCGGGCGAGAGCATGCGGATATCACGTGTACACGCAAGCTAGTAGTTAATATCAATACCTGATATCTGCGCGCAGCACGCTATACATGGTCAGCAATAACTACGTGCGCGTTGTGTCATCGTCACGGCTCGATAGCAACGAGTTATTTATCAAAGGACAAGACAGACGTCACCGCCAAGTGATGGAGTTAAGGAAAAGGCGAGCATCGTATACCGGCTAGACATTGCGCGGTTTCTTATATCGCTAGCCCTTGTATTGCATAGGCTAACCGATAAGCAACGCATATTCAGCGCAAAAAAAAAGCAGAAAACGATTCCGAGTTTGCTTAGCCAGCGAAAATAATTGCACGAAAGCTTGTGACGTTGGCTTACGTCAAAACGCACGAGAAAATGTATACTTTTGAGAAATCGTGAATAAAAACATGCCATTCAGTGAAGATTCAATGGACTACGCCGTGTTTTTTTGCCGTAAGGACGTGGAAACCTGAAAGCCTAACCAATAAATGAAGCTGGCTTCAACTTTTTTGCCCGTTCGAAAATAGAATTAGGCAGATGGAATACTTCAGATGATGGGTCACGGTCGCTCGAAACTGTTTTTTTTACGGGAGTGCTACTGGTATATGCTTAATTAGAATTTCATAAGCTATTCCAATGACAAGGCGTTTAGCATGGTAATTCATTTTCAAGATGCGGGCTAGGTTTTTCACGCTAACTATGACGGCGGTTAGCGGCATACAGACAAGCGACGATAAATGAGACAACAACTGCAATCAGTATAACTCGTAACGCTGGCGGCGACAAGCGGCACAAAACCCACACATCTACATATAATGACCATAGGTAATGCGTATTCATTCAGCATCACAAGAAGCACGGCAGCCGATCCGAGTTTGCCAGCGAACTCCCGATTTTAAAATCTGTAAGAAATCAACGATCGGCGTGGAAGAGCGACAAGGTGAACGACGGCAGAATGGGAACAGTCCTTTAAGCTGAGGCGTCCATAACGGAGGAAGTTTTACGGCTAGGAAGGGTACATGAAAAAAATGTCCGAGCCGGAAGCGCTTTTTATACAACAGGAAGTTTCGCGCACGCAATGGGAGGGGCTTCCGT